TGCGTCCAACTACCCAGCAGTCTACAGCAGAGTTTGACGTTTGGCGACTATTTCGACCAGAGCATGGAGGGCAAACTACCTAGCAGCTAGCAGCTTGCAAAGTTTAACGTTTGGTCGGCCATTCAATCAGAGCTTGGAGGGCATCCAACTACCCAGCAGCCTTCAGAGTTTGACCTTTGGAGAGGAGTTCGACCAGAGCCTGGAGGGCATTCAGCTACCCAGCAGCCTTCAGAGTTTGACATTCCGCGACTATTTCGACCAGAACATGGAGAGCATCCAACCACCCAGCAGCCTGCAGAGTTTGACATTTGTCGAGGAGTTCGACCAGAGCCTGGAGTGCATCCAACTACCCAGCAGTGTACAGCAGAGTTTGACGTTTGGCGACTATTTCGACCAGAGCATGGAGGGCAAACTACTTAGCAGCTAGCAGCTTGCAAAGTTTAACGTTTGGTCGGCGATTCAATCAGAGCTTGGAGGGCATCCAACTACCCAGCAGCCTTCAGAGTTTGACTTTTGGAGAGGAGTTCGACCAGAGCCTGGAGGGCATTCAGCTACCCAGCAGCCGTCAGAGTTTGACATTCGGCGACTATTTCGACCAGAGCATGGAGGACATCCAACTACCCAGCAGCCTGCAGAGTTTGACATTTGGCGAGGAGTTCGACCAGAGCCTGGAGTGCATCCAACTACCCAGCAGTCTACAGCAGAGTTTGAGGGCAAACAACTACCTAGCAGCTTGCAAAGTTTAACGTTTGGTCGGCGATTCAATCAGAGCTTGGAGGGCATCCAACTACCCAGCAGCCTTCAGAGTTTGACTTTTGGAGAGGAGTTCGACCAGAGCCTGGAGGGCATTCAGCTACCCAGCAGCCTTCAGAGTTTGACATTTGGCGACTATTTCGACCAGAGCATGGAGGGCATCCAACTACCCAGCAGCCTTCAGAGTTTGACATTTGGCGAGGAGTTCGACCAGAGCCTGGAGTGCATCCAACTACCCAGCAGTCTACAGCAGAGCTTGACGTTTGGCGACTATTTCGACCAGAGCATGGAGGGCAAACAACTACCTAGCAGCTTGCAAAGTTTAACGTTTGGTCGGCGAGTCCATCAGAGCTTGGAGGGCATCCAACTACCCAGCAGCCTTCAGAGTTTGACTTTTGGAGAGGAGTTCGACCAGAGCCTGGAAGGCATTCAGCTACCCAGCAGCCTTCAGAGTTTGACATTCGGCGACTATTTCGACCAGAGCATGGAGGGCATCCAACTATCCAGCATCCTGCAGAGTTTGACATTTGGCGAGGAGTTCGACCAGAGCCTGGAGTGCATCCAACTACCCAGCAGTCTACAGCAAAGTTTGACGTTTGGCGACTATTTCGACCAGAGCATGGAGGGCAAACTACCTAGCAGCTAGCAGCTTGCAAAGTTTAACGTTTGGTCGGCGATTCAATCAGAGCTTGGAGGGCATCCAACTACCCAGCAGCCTTCAGAGTTTTGACTTTTGGAGAGGAGTTCGACCAGAGCCTGGAGGGCATTCAGCTACCCAGCAGCCTTCAGAGTTTGACATTCGGCGACTATTTCGACCAGAGCATGGAGGGCATCCAACTACCCAGCAGCCTGCAGTTTGACATTTGGCGAGGAGTTCGACCAGAGCCTGGAGTGCATCCAACTACCCAGCAGTCTACAGCAGAGTTTGACGTTTGGCGACTATTTCGACCAGAGCATGGAGGGCAAACTACCTAGCAGCTTGCAAAGTTTAACGTTTGTCGGCGATTCAATCAGAGCTTGGAGGGCATCCAACTACCCAGCAGCCTTCAGAGTTTGACTTTTGGAGAGGAGTTCGACCAGAGCCTGGAGGGCATCCAACTACCCAGCAGCCTTCAGACTTTGACTTTTGGAGAGGAGTTCGACCAGAGCCTGGAGGGCATTCAGCTACCCAGCAGCCTTCAGAGTTTGACATTCGGCGACTATTTCGACCAGAGCATGGAGGGCATCCAACTACCCAGCAGCGAGGAGTTCGACCAGAGCCTGGAGTGCATCCAACTACCCAGCAGTCTACAGCAGAGTTTGACGTTTGGCGACTATTTCGACCAGAGCATGGAGGGCAAACAACTACCTAGCAGCTTGCAAAGTTTAACGTTTGGTCGGCGATTCAATCAGAGACCTTTGGAGAGGAGTTCGACCAGAGCCTGGAGGGCATTCAGCTACCCAGCAGCCTTCAGAGTTTGACATTCGGCGACTATTTCGACCAGAGCATGGAGGGCATCCAACTACCCAGCAGCCTGCAGAGTTTGACATTTGGCGAGGAGTTCGACCAGAGCCTGGAGTGCATCCAACTACCCAGCAGTCTACAGCAGACTTTGACGTTTGGCGACTATTTCGACCAGAGCATGGAGGGCAAACTACCTAGCAGCTAGCAGCTTGCAAAGTTTAACGTTTGGTCGGCGATTCAATCAGAGCTTGGAGGGCATCCAACTACCCAGCAGCCTTCAGAGTTTGACTTTTGGAGAGGAGTTCGACCAGAGCCTGGAGGGCATTCAGCTACCCAGCAGCCGTCAGAGTTTGACATTCGGCGACTATTTCGACCAGAGCATGGAGGACATCCAACTACCCAGCAGCCTGCAGAGTTTGACATTTGGCGAGGAGTTCGACCAGAGCCTGGAGTGCATCCAACTACCCAGCAGTCTACAGCAGAGTTTGAGGGCAAACAACCACCTAGCAGCTTGCAAAGTTCGACGTTTGGTCGGCGATTCAATCAGAGCTTGGAGGGCATCCAACTACCCAGCAGCCTTCAGAGTTTGACTTTCGGAGAGGAGTTCGACCAGAGCCTGGAGGGCATTTAGCTACCCAGCAGCCTTCAGAGTTTGACATTTGGCGACTATTTCGACCAGAGCATGGAGGGCATCCAACTACCCAGCAGCCTTCAGAGTTTGACATTTGGCGAGGAGTTCGACCAGAGCCTGGAGTGCATCCAACTACCCAGCAGTCTACAGCAGAGTTTGACGTTTGGCGACTATTTCGACCAGAGCATGGAGGGCAAACAACTACCTAGCAGCTTGCAAAGTTTAACGTTTGGTCGGCGATTCAATCAGAGACCTTTGGAGAGGAGTTCGACCAGAGCCTGGAGGGCATTCAGCTACCCAGCAGCCTTCAGAGTTTGACATTCGGCGACTATTTCGACCAGAGCATGGAGGGCATCCAACTACCCAGCAGCCTGCAGAGTTTGACATTTGGCGAGGAGTTCGACCAGAGCCTGGATTGCATCCAACTACCCAGCAGTCTACAGAGTTTGACATTTGGCCTCACTCTACCCAACCTTGCAAGGCATCCAACTACCCAGCGGCCTGCAGATTTTGACGGTTGTCGACCAGTTCCACAAGAGCTTGCAGGGCATCCAAATTCCCAGCAACCTGCAGAGTTTGACCTTTGGCGACTAGTTCGACCAGAGCATGGAGGGCATCCAACTACCCAGCAGCTTTCGGCATCCAACTACCAGCTGCCTTCAGAGTTTTACATTTGGCGAGGAGTTCGATAAGAGCCTGGAGGGCATCCGCTACCCAGCAGCCGCAGCTTCTTTTATCGCAGCTGTTTACTTCAGCCTTTTCCGCAGCCATTTCCACAGCCATTTTGGCATTTTCAACCAGAGTTTGGAGGGCGTCCCTCTACTATGCAGAGTTTGACATTTGGCGAGGAGTTCGACCAGAGCCTGGAGTGCACCCAACTACCCAGCAGTCTACCCAACCTTGCAAGTTCGGATTTTACTTACTGCATCCGCATCAATCTTCACCCCGCTTCGGCGGGGTGTGTGTGTGACAACCCTGTGTCCAAGGGTCTTCACCTCACGTCCTGCACTGACTTTGATTTCGCATTGACCGAGTTATAGCAGGGGACCTCACGTTCTGCACTGACTTTGATTTCGCATTGACCGAGTTATAGCAGGGGGATGAGACGCATGCTCAGTGATCTCATCCAACGAAGCTAGCTGAGTATGCGGGAAGCTGAAACTGGCCATTTCAGTGTACCTGCTATGGGGGACTCCGCTCCTGGGTCCTGCGTGGCAGCTGGAGGGAGTCAGCAAGGTGCTCTGGGCCTGGTATGGCAGCTGGGACCTCGCACCCCATGATCCCATTGGACATGGCGCGGGGCTAAGCCGAGAACCCTCAGTGCGTGCGGGCGCTATTCTTCTATGCCTGTGACATCCTGGTCTTCGCTGTACATGGTTCATCGTCGTACTGGTATATATGCCATATATGCTTTCTGCTTGGATGGCGATCGTTGGTCCTTGTCTTGTCCTTCGGTGCGTTGGGGTTCAGGCTGGCGTTGTGGTTTAGTCAGGCAGGTAGAGGTCTCAGGCCACGAACTTTCTGCTCTTCCTCTTTGCAGTTATTGTCCATGATGCCACATGTCAAAAGTTACCCAGCACGTGGTCGCCCGAGACCTGGGTGCTGGTACTGGTTCTTCGCTTACAGAAACCTCACTTAGCATTCAGTGTGTGTGTCTGTGATATATATATATATATATATATATATATATATATATTATATATCTGGTGGCAGGTGCGAAGGTCAAAGCCGCCCCCAAAAAGAAAGAGCAGAAGAAGCCCGTAGAGGAAGAAGAACCTGAGAAGGTTGAAGAGGAGGAGGACGAGGACGAGGACGAGGACGAGCACGAGGACGAGGACGAGGAAGAGGAAGAAGACGAGGAAGAGGAGCAGGACGAAGAGGACCAGGGCGAGGAGGCAGAAGACGAGGAAGGTGAGGAACTGGATGAGGAGGAGGACAGTCAAGCCAAAAAGAAGCCCTCAGCCAAGGAAAAAGCAAAGGCAAAGGCCAAGGCCAAGGCAAAGGCAACCCCCAAGGCAACCCCCAAAGGCAAAGCCAAGCCCAGCAGCTCTTCCACCACGACAACCCCCAAAGCCGAAGCAAAAGGCGGCAAATCGAAAGGAGGAACCGGAGACAATAAAGGCGAACCGAAAGCCAAAGCGAAAAACGGAAACAAGAACAAGACTGAGCAGGATGCTCCGGGAAAACAGGAAGCCCAAAAAGAAAGCCTCCATCGCGGACTGGAGCTATGGATTGGAAGCACAGGACACCAAAAAGCAGCAAGAGCAGCCGCAGTCGCCGGAGGAGAAACCTGAGAAAAGGGACCGAAGCAAGCGAAACAAGTTCAACTTCCTCATGGTTGTGTTGTCTGTAGCCCAGAAGCGACCAGAGGTCGCTTCTGGGCTGCGCGATGTGCACAAGGGGGGCTGGAGGGCCCCCTGTGTATATATCACACATGTAGAATTTCATTGTGTACATATTTCAGGACAGCGCACAAGGAGGGCTGGAGGGTCCCGGATGTATATATCACGCAGGGCTGGCAAAGCCAACGTCCTGGCTCTGGAGACAGCGACGACAGATCGCAGCCGTTGGAAAAGAGCGAGGTTTTGTAAGTGCAAGGGCTGGATGGCCCTTACAAGTGTGAAAGGGCTGAATGGCCCATTGTGGATTCCGGATATGCATCTGGATTAGCACAGGAAAAGATAAGATAATTTGTGCACGTGTTTTTTGTGTGAGGCTTTGCAAATGAAAGGGCTGGATGGCCCTTTTGCAAAAATGTGAAAGGGCTGGATGGCCGTATCTGGAATAGCACAGGAGAAGATAAGAGAATTTGTGCACGTGTTTTGTGTGAGGCTTTGCAGGTGAAAGGGCTGGATGGCCCTTTTCACAAAAGGGAAAGGGGAAGGGAGAGGGTGGAACAGGAATGGGAAAGGGTATAAAGAGAGGGGGGGATGTGCCGTTGTGGGTTCACACAAATACTATCTTGTTTTGCTCGCCCAGTCTGCTCTCAGCAATTATCTAAGGCACTGGTCCCCACAGGGTGTCTAAATGTGGAGCATAAAATATAAGGTTCTCGAAACGGAATTGTGAATTTTTCATGGTAGTGGAGCCCTGCGGAAAAGGTTGCCGGCAAAGCCATGACAAAAAAGGTTGGCCACGAAGAGAAGGAGGACCAAGAGGAAAAGAAGGAGCAGGCCGGACAAAAAGGAACAACTTTGAGGCTTCAGAGTTCCACTGCAGGAACCAGCCAGGTTGAGATTCGACACCATGATGGACGTGTTCTTTCAAGTCCTTGTCCGTGCTTGTTTTTTGGCTCAACCCCTCTGGATCCTTCATTATGCTCCACATTTAGACCCCCACGGGTGTCTAAATGTGGAGCATATAAGAAAGCAAATCCAAAAGTATACATATGTCCTTTTGGGTGGGCCAACCCAAAAGTGTATACACTTTTGGGGCTGCCAGCCCAAAAGTGTATACACTTTTGGCTCGTTTTACATAAATTTAGCCCCCCAAATCCGGCCCCTGGGGGAGTAAATTTACACCCCAAATTTACACCCCAAAAGGGTGTAAATTCTTAGGGGGGAGTAAAGTGTAAATTTACACCCATTGGATCTATCAGGTGCGGCGAACATAGGGCCATCGCCGTTCTAGCAGTCATCGTTGAGGACGAGGCTAGTGGGAAGAAGAGGATGATCCACGACGCTACACACGGGGTCCGGGTCAATCATCGCATTAAGTGCCGTGACAAGATCCGGGCCCCGGGAGCTAGAGAGAAGAAGCAGCTACTTCGAGAGCACATCGACGCTAACGAGGTGGCTTTCTCGGTTGTGGGGGACATCACTAAGGCCCACAGACGCTACAAGCATGCCGAGGGAGAGTCAGGGAGAGCATGAGCATGGCTACCTTGGATGTCAGATCGACACCGAAGAAGCTATTCCGGGGGACCCCACCATCCAGACGGTCTACGTGAATCTGGTGGGGACCTTCCTAGTCTTGGCTACCCGTTCAAATGGTCCAAGACGAGGGGGGGGTTTCGGGTGGAATGGCTAGGCATGGAGACGGAGTCATGCACGTGAAAGCTAGGTCTCTCACAAAAGCGGACCAACTGGAAAGTGGAGTGGCTGCGGAAGCCAGTACGCGAGGGGAAGAGTGAAGCTGGCCCTTTGCGCAGGGGCTGGGACGCCTGGGGTTCGCCTCCATGGCGCTAGACTGGGAACGTCCCTTTCTTGGTCCGCTGCGCGCCTGGTCGTCGGCTGTCCAAGGGAAGCCTGCTTACTTGACGCTACCCACCATGATCCGGGTGCTCTGTGGCTGGCTAAAGCAGACCGACTGGAATCCGGTGGCCGCCTGCAGCGACCGGCCCCACTCCTGGAAGGAGCTGCCCCGCTCCTTTTACACGGACGCTACAAGGCGGAAGACGGCCGTGCCTGGATTGGTGGTGTTCTGGAGCTAGTCGACGGGTGCCATGGACCCTGGTTCTTGTGGTAGAGGTGAAGAAGGAATGGCGCCATGGGCCTTCGCTAAGGGTGACCCGAACAAGGTCATCGCGGCGCTAGAACTGCCAGCCACCCTGGTGGGGGGGTAAGCCAAGAAGACCTCGAGGGTCGCTATCCGGGGGTACACGGACAACCAGTCCAACGATGCGCGACTGAAGAAAGCTATGACGACGAAGTTCCCCTCGACCCTGGTGCTATTGGAGCTAGCGGAAGAGCTCTCCGCTAAGAACTGTGAGCTACAGCTACAGTGGATCCGCCGTGATCTGAACCAGCTAGCGGACGACCTCACGAACGAGAACTTCGCTAGTTTCTTCCCTGAAAAGGGACAAGCTAGTGTGGCGTGTGCTGGGCCGTCTCCTCGAGCACTCGGCTAGCTACTTTCAAGAGCTGGAGTGAGGAAGAGAGCCAGTGAGCCGAAGGCTCCGAGGTTCGCTAAGAAGGCCCGTAAGCTACGTACTGCCTGGAGGTGTTGAGGGAGGTGGCGGGAGGATACGCTAGCTAGTGTACTGCTATAGGGAAGGGGGGAGGGGCGCGGGGGGGGGGGGGGAAGAAGCGAAGAGTGTGAGAGAACCACGTTCTTGCTACATGCAGTTGCGCTTGCTGTGTTGCTATGTTGTGTTTCGGCTTGTGTTCCGCTAGTGTCCTGCAGGGAGCGAAGGCAGGCGCTAGGAAACTCGGGCCGGGTGACCCGTCTTCGGCCACCCAGGGAACACAGGAGCTAGCCCGAGACAGTTGTGGACTGGAAAAGCGGCAGATGCCCCGGCGGCCCTGCCGCTACTACGGCGGCCAGGATGTGGCTGGGGCACAGCACAGCCCCCAATCGAGAAAAGAGGAGCTTGGCCGGGCGCACCTCTCGGAGGACGACATCGCTAACCTCCTTGTCAGCAAGCTTGACGCAGAAGTTTGCCGCTAGTGAGGCAGCTGCGGCGAAAGCCAAGCTAGACGAGCTGGCTGCCGCTAACGCAGCCGCCGCTGCCGCTGAGGCCAAGGCCCGCAAGGAGGCGGAGGTCAAGGTCGACAGCGCAAGGCTGAGCACAGAAGGAGGTCGCGATGCGACTCGCTATGGAGACGGAGGCCGCGGAGAGGGAGTTCCAGGCAGCCGTGGCCGCTAGCAAAGCTAGTTTGGGTGCCGTTACTGCTGCCTCGGAGAGGGATCCGACCACTACCTCCAGCACGGACCCGACGCCGGCGGAGGCTGCTCTGGCCTTCCTGCAGGGCTACGCCACCGGCCGCTACCCCCTCCTGGCCTAGGGGCGCTAAGGAGAGGCGCTTCGGCGCCTCCGCTAACAAAGCTCCAGACGTGTTCGCCGTTCGCCTACACGTGGACGCTACTCATTGACGACCCCGACCGCTACATGGAGATGCTACGCTTTGCCCTTCAGACTGAGAAGGCACTAAGGGAGGCGGGTGGCATGCCGAACCAGCTATGCCAAAAGCACCCCGATTACCTGTGCGCTAAAGGATGGGGCGGCCATCCCCCCTGGCACACGCTAACCGCTTGCCCAAGGGCAAGTCCTGCTATTACCTGGAGTCCAGGATCGACCGAGGTCTGGCCGGGACGAGCGCTAGAGAAGGGCAAGGGGAAGGGGCCCCACTCCCACTTTGGCAAGGGCCAGGATGGTGGATCTGCTTTGCTGGTCGACGATCTTAAATACGAAGACCTTGTTGACGTGGTGCTTAACATCGAAGCGGTGCACCCTCTCATGCGTGTCCAGGCCTGGGTCGAGGAGCTGGATCGCAGCAACCCGCTGGCAGCCAAGGCGAGTGGGTGTGACCACTTGGGATCGTCGTTGGTCCTCCCCCCGGGACAGTCAGGAGTCCTTGAAAACCTTCATGACTGCTGCGCGTCGTTGGGCCGGAAGGAGCACAATTGGAGCCAGTGCCTCCGGAGACGTCGGCCAGACTTATCGTGCCCAGGTTCCAGGATCAGGACTAACTGGATTTCGGTCTTGACAACGTCAACGTCTGCTGTTGGCATTGGTGGCTTGGCATGGGCGAGCGCGGAGCTTTTTGCCATGCGATGTGAACAGCGGACGGGAGACTTCGCCGAGAATTCCCTGGCCTCCTGGTTGTTTAGCTGGGGCCCTCAAGAAGAGCATATGGCCTGGCTTATGCTCAGAACGCAGTCCGGGTGCCGCACGAACAAGGACAGTTGTGATCCGGCCAGATCTAGAAACAGAGGCCGAAGCATCTTTGCATTGAACGGTGTCGGGAGGTTTGATTTTGTATGACTACACAATAAGAATGATTGTATCGACGTCATGTTTTTGCTCTTCCCTCCCTTCCTGCGACCCTGAATCGAGCGATGCGCCCAGCGCTCCGAAATTGCCACAGAAATCCGTTCCTGTCATCCTACCAAAAATCATTGCATTGGTTTGAACGGTAGGCCTTGAATGCTGAAAGATGCATGTTTGGTTTAGGCGTTGGTGTTCATGCCGTCCCACCCCAATCACCAAAAAACACTGCCGAAACCGGAACCAAGCACGGGGGGATCTTTCCGTGCGCCAGGGCTGCATGTCGCAGTGGGTGTCGGTGTTTAGTTCATTGGTCCCTGCATGTGGCACTGTTGCGCCTCGCTGTTTGATATTGCAGGTTGTTGATGTTGAGTTTGTTTTGAGGCGATCTTGCTTTTGGAAGAGCTTGACGAGGTGCGTTCCACACTGCACCGCAACTTGTCGATGGTCTGATGGTCTCTGAGCCGCAAGGCCGCTGACGCATCGGGCGGCAAGGGCTCCGGCCCGAGCATGACGTTATCGCCGACCTCTCCTCCTGGGCCTTCTTGGGCTTTGGCAGCTTTGGCGTCTTGTCGAGGCCCTTTGGCGGCGCAGCGGTCTGAGATCAGCGCGCAAAGCTAAGACCACCAGGGAGAGGCTGCGCATGGCTGCGCTGAGCAGGCTCGACGCCCTGGGAAAACATGCTGTGGGGGCATTGAGTAGCACGCTGGATGCTCTGAGCCATCGCCCCAGACCCGCCTTGATACGTGGCTTGGAGTCTGGGTGACGATGGTAAGGTCTCAACCTGATGAATCTGACCCAGGACTGAGCTGCTGAGATGCGCTGTCATACTCTTGTTGAAGGACGGTGCATGACAGGACCTTGGCGACTGGACCCAAAACAGCAGCGAGAAAGAGCCCAAAGGCGGCAAGGGGGCCGTGGCTCAAATGCTGGATTTCTTGCTTCCAGACATGGACCAGGACCTTGCAGCAGGGTTCTGTTGTTAATTTTAACGCTACGCCGCCCGCCTCGGCTCTGTAGTGGCAGGGCGAGGGTCCCGGCTTATTGTATACCTTCTGGTCACCCTAAACCCTAAACCCTCAACCCTAAACCCTAAACCCTAAACCCAAACCCTAAACCCTAAACCCTAAACCCTAAACCCTAAACCAGACAGGCAGTGGATTGACGCAAAAGCCAAAGCGGGGGCGAGGAAGACGAAACGAGGGCGGGGAGAAGAAGTGGGAGGGCGGTGCGAGGGGAGAGGCCAGGAAAGGAGGGAACGAGGGTGGGGAGAAGAAGTGGGAGGGTGGTGCGAGGGGAGAGGCCAGGAAAGGAGGGGAAAGGGAGGGAGGGGGGGGTGGGGAGGGGGGGTGGAAGAAAAAAAGAGGGGGAGGAGGCCTGGGAGGGGGCGGGTAGGCCCGCAAATCAGAGAAAATGAGGGGAGGCCGGGCAAGGGGGTGGCAAACGAGCGCAAACAGGGTGTCACCAATCATTTGGGCTGCAGGGAGGAGGATTAGGTGGAGGGTACCTGAGGTAACCACCAAAACGCCTGGGCCTGTGGCCTCGGCGGATTCAGGCGTTCAGGCAGCACACGGCAGTGTGATATCGATGCTTTGAAGCTTGTGCTGCAGTACCATTGCGGTGAAACTAAAGCGCAGTGCTCGTACCGCAAATGAGAGACGTTGGAGGAACATGAGTACATGTCACTTTGCTGGAGGAAGTGGAGGAGAAGAAGGTGTGCCCAGAAGCCGCCAAACTCAGAGAAGGGAGGCATTGGCCGCAAGAGAGTGGCAGTGGCAGCAGTGCACTGGCAGAGGAATCAAAGTTGCGAGTTCTCATAGCGTCGCGAGGGATGGATCCTCCTTCCTTCCCCTCCGAGAGTGATGAGAGTGTAGGATTCTGCAGCTTGCACTTTCTCCAGAGACTTCTCGTAAACTTCAGCCAAGCTGCGAAAGGCAGCTTTGGAGCAGGAAGCCGGACGCCCAGGAGTCGGCTCGCGTAACGTGTCGCCGTCGCCGAGGGTTGGGAGCGGGTGCTGGGGGACGTCTACGGCCGCGTCCCCGTTCTTCCTTCTTCGGCTCTGCTCTGCTGGCTCTGCTGGCTCTGCTTTGCCTGGGCTCAGGCGGCGACCAGTTTTCCGGCCGGGCCGCTCAAAAAAGGAAGGCCTCTTGGTTTTGGCTGCGAGCTTTGGCCTGGGCTTAGGTGGCTGGCGCCACTCCGCCGAGTCCGTAGAGGTCGCTTCGCTGCAGGGCCCTGCAGGGTTCCGGGCCGGCAGGGCCGAGAACTCCGGCCAGGACTGTGCCTGGAAGTGTTTGACGCAGCCTGGATGCCTGGGCCTTTGTGTTGAAACGCTACGCCAAGACACCGTAAGCCTGGCAGTCCGAGGCGGAAGCTTCGAGTGGAGTGAGTCCAGGAAGAGGTGCTTCCGCAACAGCCTGGAGCCCATGAGCCCAGCCCGGAGAGGCTTCGAGCTGCTGAGCCTGAGCCGTGCTGTTGAGGCCAGACGCGACCAACGCATGAGGACAGGGGGCCTTCTTCTTGCCTATTCATTCGCGCGTTTGTTTTCCGGTGTCATGCAGCCAGGGTCATTCCAAGGGCGAGTCTGTCTGCATTTCTGGGTGTTATGGTCTAGTCAATGACTTGCTACCAAGAGTGGCTTTCTGCGCAGTGCGGCGCAACAGTTGCAGAAGCCGTCCATGATGGTGTTTGCCTTGTGTTTTCTGGTCTCTTGCTGCTACAGCAGGCCGATCGTGCAGGCTTCGTGCGGGAGCCTTTGCATGTTGCACTATGTTGCACTCATTGGCAGGAGATACATTTGAGCATGGCTTGGCGAGGTTTTGTCGACGCCAACCCTGCCCAAGCTTCAAGACCCACAAGGCCGGCGGGCCAACAGCGAGTCGGCGCGAGTGGCGCGAATCGAGCGAGAAAGAGAAAGGCAGAAAGGCAGTCCGCTCCAGCTCCACCCAAGCTCCCCCCAAGCTTCCCTTTCATTTTGCTTTTGGCGAGGACTGCGTCGGGCCGGGGGTTTCGCCAGGCTTCTACTCCAAAGAGGCCCCGGCCCCCGCCGGGCCCCACGTGTTTGAGAGAGACGCGGGGGTGTAGCGGGTGTGGTTTGTTTGGATTCGAATTGACCGAATTTTCCGTTCTTCTTCGTTTGAACGGCGGAGGTACGGATGCGGCCAGGCAGCTACTGTGCCTTTGTTGAACGATTAGTGCACAGAGAGTGCACGGCACGGTGTCTCCGGTTCAACGGTGTGTTCGAAGCATGTGCCCCGAGGTATCTGGTCCGGCGGCGCCTGTCAGGTGGTTTCGCTCGCGGCCGAAGCAAAGTGTCTTGCTGTGCCGCACACGGCAGCGCGGCGCAGGCTCCCATGGCCTGCACGGACTCGGACTGTTTCTTGCCGGACGGCGGGTTGCCGGGCATGGACCTGCCCAGGCCCCTGGTCCCCACATATCCCGCCTCCCAGCCGTGCCCTGCCGCTTTGCGCTTTGCGCCCTGCCTGCTGCGCGTCAGTCGCTACACGCTCTGGATCTCCCGCGAGGGCCTGCAGGCCGTTTACTCGGCCTCTGACGCCTCTGACGTCAGAGGTTGTGACTGAGTCGCATGGCTGAGGCCAGCATGGCCTCGGCGACCTCGGCGGCCTCGGGCCGGCTTTGAGCTTCCGGCCAGCACACGGCGCCTCTCCGCAAAGTCCTCTCGTGTACATAGATCGGACGGACGGCGCGCAGCTGTGGAAGCAGAACAGAGAAAAAGGGAGCAGAGGCGAGGGAGCTTTCTTTGGCGGAAGTCTTCGTGCCTTGCGGGGGCCCCCGGCCCAAGAGAGACCTGCGGAATGTGTTGCAGCTTCTAGGGTTCCAAGTAGCAGCCGCTGATTCTTTGCTTGAATGCCAGACTGTGTCTAGTTTAGCAACGTTTGCACCGCGAAGCAGCACTCATCTCATGCAGGTGTCACAGTAAAGCGAACGTCACGTTTCCGAGAGGCCTGCTATTCTAGCGGATGTTTCCGCGAGTCCACACCCGCGCCAGCGCCATGGCTATGGCGGGCGTGGCTCAGCGAGGCCACATTGGCCACTTCCTTCACGGCGTCGCGAGTGGAGACCCGCTGGCAGATGCCAAAGCCCTAAACCCCTGCATCCCTCCTTTCCTGCAGGCAGAAGTGTGGCGTTTGTGCTCCCTTCTGTGCCTCTGTGCTCTGTGCATATCCCTGCATGCTCTGAGGCCATCGTGCTCTGGACCCGCTTCACGCCCATGAGGCCGGCTGAGGACGAGAAGGCCGTTCTGAGCGGCGTGAAAAAGAGCCGCCCAGGCCGCCTGGGCCCCACCCCAGCTTTGGACTTTCTCGAGGCTTACAAGGTGCGGTGGCTTCTCTGGGTCTCTCCCGGCCCACCCCAACCCGGTCACGAGCTCACGGGAGAGGCCGCTCGCTTTGTCACACGGCTTCAGCCCCAACTCGTCTCAGCTGCAGGCAGCTGCAGCTGAGGAGTTTGACTTCACTGTGAAGGCTCATGTCTCTAGCGAGCTAGCGCTCGAGCGAGCGCCCCCGCCCAACTGTGATTGCCTATGTGACGGGCGATCGGCAGGTGGACGTATCCGGACTGCAGCCAGGACAGCCGGCTGTGATGTGATCACTGTTGCTCCAGCGCTGTGCATCGGAGTTCAGGAAGTCTTTATGCCTATCGTTTCGAGTGTGGGCAAGCCAAGTCACCACAGGCCCGGGGGAGGTTCGCAGGTTCTGGTAAGAAACTCGCTTCCTTCCTTCCTCTGCCAGGGCGAGTTCCGGCTGCCGCTGCCTCCCTCGCAGCCCATGGCCCGGCTGAGCTACGTTTCTCGGCAGCTCCGAACGCTCCGAAAGTCGGCCCCGCAGTTTTGCCCCGCCATGTCGCATAGGCCGTCTTCAGCTGTGCCAACCGGCCGGGCACCGGGCGGTGGGATTTTCCTCGCATCTCCAACGCTCTTATTCCGTCAGGGGCTTCGGCAACTTCCGTGCCTACGCCGCCGCTGTGGACCGCAGCAGAGAGCTGCAGGCACCTTTGGACTTCTGGCTTCCTGGCGCTGACCGTACCACACTGCCATACTGGGCCATACTGTACTGTGGAGCCAGTTCCAGTTGACCAATTAGGCTGCACCTGGGAGACTACATCTACGAGCAGCTCAGCCGCAGAAAGAAAATCCACCCGCTCTTTTCGCACACCGACCTTCGCCACCCTTGGCCTCTTCGAGTTCACACATTGGTGGAAGATATTGAAAACACCTTTGACGCTTGAAAGTCGTGCATGTAGGCTGCGATTTTTGACGGGATCCGATGGACTTCTTGCTTTCACACAGAAGCCGGTGCGACCTCGAGCCTCGAGCCCAACCAGGTGGTTTCTCGGTGCACCGCCTTTTCCTTTAGTTGTCGCCCTCGCTTGCCACGCACCGAAGGTCCGTGTTCCTTCCGAAGCATCGCTGTCTTGCACTTTGCGTGCCGCAGCTAGTACAGCTAGTAGTATCCCCTCTACGATCCGCAGTACCTGCAGTCTTGGAGTTGTACTTGTGTTGCGATTGACATTCATATCGGACTGCAAAGGAGAGGGTTTCAGCCGACATCTTCTCTGCTTCAAGATGTTGGTTGCAAGCAACGTCAGAGAACTACAGTAGGGTTGTGAAGGACGTCGATGGTTGTCAGTCAGTTCACAGCCAAGACACGGCGGCAAGCGGCAAGCTGTTTGAGGCGGGTCCCATCTGGGCCTCTGGCCCATTCTGGCCCTACAAACCAACGACCGTTCCAGGTGTTTCTGTTGATTGCCTCGTGGTGCTCAACACCCTTTTGGGCCTTGTGTCAAGTCTCGAAGAGACTCAGAGAACTCCCTTTTGCATGTCGTGTTCGCTTTGCTAACCGACACGGCGGGGGCCGCCGCCGGGCCGCGGCCCCCGGGCCCGTTCTCGTGGCTGAGGTACGGAGACACGCGCTACCCGGAGCCCTCGGAGACGGTCCTTCCAGGCCGGAGCTTTGAAAACAGCGGAGCGGACGAAACCTGCGCATTTTTCTTTTCTTTTCCTCCGCTCCGCTCCGCTCCGGAAGGGTGCCGTCCTGGAGGTTGCTGACATGTCGATCTGGTTCGCGCTCTCTCCGCGAGAAGATTAGTTGACAAGTGTCCTCAAGAGGCTCAAGGTGAGACGTAGCAGCCCCTTTAACTTTGAGTGGTTGCTTTACCTTCTTGTTGCCTCGATCTTGGTGTCATTTTCTTTCCCAGGTCTTTTCAACTTTGGCGAAACACTCGGACAATGGCCAACGAAGCAGCGGATGCTATGGCATCCGCCGAGCAGGCGGAAGCGCCGCTGCCCGCGCCAGCGGAGACTTTTGACTCTCAGCAAGCAGCGCCTTCACCATTGGTGACACCGTTTCCAGGAGTTGTTCCAGTTGTTAAGGCCCCACTCCTGAACTCCTTGCGAAAGAGGAACCCCAAGACCCCGCTCCAGGAATCAGTCGCATTATCACGCTGACAGCAGATTCACAAGTGGTCAAATTTACCAATGCAATGACTTGTTTGATGCTCTCGTTGCCAACTTGCAGGCGCAGGCACAGCTTCCGCCATGTCAGGTTTTACGGGACTCGCCAGTACATTCAAAGGAAGCGCCCCTGAGAAAGATTAGGACCACATCGAGTGGTGGGATATGGACCCGAACTTTCGAGAAGCATTGCAAGCCTTCACTGAACTTCTTAGAGCTTACAATACGGTACGCAACCCCAGAAAGGTAGCACGCCTTGACCCTAATACCAACTCCTTTACCCCGACCAGCAACGTTAAGCTCCCGTCTCCCAGCATAGAGATCCCGCCACAGGTCACCATGGAGAACCTCTGGCACAGTGCCATGAGCACACAGTGCAGCCCTCCCTAGACCTGTTCTCGAACCACATAAGACAGGAAGTGGTAAATAGGTTAGATAGGCAAGGCTCCTTGGCGAGATTTGAGGGACTTGCTCTTCAGAGCCTTGAGGCGGACGCCATCCAACGCACAGTGTTGATGCATGGATTGTCGCCCTTTACCAACAAAGCCACCATAGACCACAACCTCCAATACTTGTTGCAGCAAGCATACCTCAGCGAATTAGACATACAAACCACCTCCAACCACGTCAATACCTCCACCAATGCTTTCTTGAAGATTACCTTTTTGCAGGAAACCTCCACCAAGGCCTTTTTGCAGTCCTTTAGACAGAAGAAAAGATGGCACCACTCCCAGGAACATCAAGATGCTCCCCTTTAGATAGAGAGAGACCCGGTTTTGGAAAGAATCGAGCGAGTTCCCCTTGATGCGGTAATGGGCTCCCTAACCAAGGCGCAGAACCCCTCCTACACCGAATACTTAAAGTGCGACCTCAACGCACTCCAGGTATGGGACCCTGATGAAGCCAAACAAGCACCTCACCTACGTGTGCCATACATTGATCATTCCGGATCTCTTTGATGCAGTTAGGACAGAATTTACCAGTTTTTTTGGGATAAGATGGCCTCCACTATTCAGTTCCTGCAAGCCTCTGCTTCTGCTAGCCGTCACTACTGCACTTCGTTATCACTTCACCCGAACCAAAGATGTCTCCAATGTATCTAGAGAGGGAGCGATTCGCTCCTTTCCGTATGCTATTTACCCCGTAGAGATGGGAAAGGACAAGAACTCCAACTTCGTGCTCCAGGGTTTTTTGGGAATGCAACCTCAAATTCAAGGGGCCGTTTCGGATCTTGGACTCAACCTAGCAGATTATGGTCGCAAAGGCAAACGTAGTAGAAACAAAGGCTCCAAAGGCAAAGGTAAAGGCAAACGAACCGATTACTCCCAGAAGCATTGGGAGCGCCAACAAGATGATGACTATGATGACGCCAACCAAGACCAACCCCGTAGTGGCAAAGGCTCCCATGGGAAAACCAGACCTCCTTTGGGGATAAGGCGCATTCCTCCAATGACACAGGCAAAGGCTCAAGGCAAAATTGGGCAACCCCTCCACAGGTTCCACACGCAGACGCAGAGAGGAAGACCGCCAAAAAGGAGATGGCAGGCAGGCCAGGCCCCGTGGCCGTGCTTTGGACGACCCCGGCATCAAATTCCTTTGTGAGGACTGTATGGCTCTAGCAGCTACCAACTCCAACTGTCCTACGTGTCGCCACAAATATCAGATGCACTTTGGTGAGCTCAAAAAGCAACAGTTGCTCCCGGACCTTCAGAAAACAGCAGCCAAGAAGCTCCCTGGCTTTCTGTGTCCTTTTTTCCCTTAGATGAAGAAGGGACCTTATGTGACGCCTTTCAATCTGATCGCTACCTAGGCACGGGCAAATGCCCCGCATGCAAAGCCCCCCGACAGTACTTTGTTCGCATTTTTGGCGGCGATGAAGCAGAAGCCTCCAGCCCATACTATCATACATCCCTAAGCAATGGGACTCAGGATGCATTTATAACCTAGCTCACTCCCTGTTTTCGGACCCGAATACATATCTCCTGGACCACGCCGTAGACCGCCTCATCAATGGATGACATGTAGCCACACACGACGGATACCGATAAACCATCCGAAAAGAAACCCAAACCCGGACAGAAGAGTCCCCAAACGGCCCCGAACAAAGAAAGCCCGCCAACCCCGAACCTGCCAAGACTTGTGGCACCGCAGGGCTTATTGACAGCTAAGACATCGTTGCCAGGTCTTCGTCGTCGTCGTTGATCACGTGGTATTCCGGCATACCCGCTGGCTTTGGCGCAGGGGCTTCCGCTAGCTTGGCAGCGACTTGAGCTCGGTTGGCATCCAGATTGGCCTGAAGACCTGGCGATGAAGAGCATTCCCGCACCAGGGCCTTTGAAGGTGGCAGCGATTTGATGGGTTGTCTTTGCTGCCCCGGGAGCTCACATTGTTTTTGCCGACGAAGACCAATGGAATGTATGTATCTGCGGGAGGGTGCCCCCTGGAACAACGAATCACTCAAGCAACTGGCTAGTTCGGGCTCAGCTTACTTGGATCTAGTTTACTATCAAGTAACGGCTCCTCACAAAATTCAAACCACAAAGAAACAAGACCTGCCGGCTCCGTGCGACCAGCTCGTAGAGATATATGGCACAATGCTAGATCGCATCCATAGGGATCACCCTCTGGTTAGTGATAAAACTCATTTGCAAGGAAGGCATTGGAACAACAAGGGCAACAGCATGGAGTCATTGCTCCTTGTGATAGCCGAAACCGGTGCTCACGACCTGGTATGGTCTGTAGCATACCTCATCATGAATATGCAATTTAGGAAGCAAAGACTCCCTTGGCTAGAGCAGTACATTAGCTCACACTGACACAGGTGGCTATCGCTAGTCGACGCGCTGCTGACCACGGCAGTGATTCTCCTTTGCTTTTTGACTCCTTTTTTGTGGAAGCACAGAGCTGACGACCAGGGCTGCAGCCCTGTCGATCGACACACATTTACCAATGGTCACATTTACCAATGGTCGCATTTACGAAGGATGCTGCTTTTTGCAGAGGTATCCTCCATTCTCGTGCGGAAGAGAATCAGCCAATTCACCAATGGTCTGATTTGCCAATGGAACCGATTTACCAATGGTTTTTTCTCGCCGATGGCATTTCACTGTACAAAGCGTGTCAGCGCTTTTTCGAGGAGCCTCTCCAGGCCACAAGGTGATCCCAACAGAGGACACCACCCAGAGCGCGCGTCACTGCGGACATTTGTCTTCCGCGGATACTCTCGCATTGGTTCCCTCTACAGGGCCAAAGTCCGAGTGTAACTTGCACACAGTTTTGCCGCGGCGGTGGAACCCAAGAGGCCTTTCTAGCCAAGAGAGCAGTAGTAATCTACCTGCCTTTGTTTTTTCCCACAAAGCGCGGCCCCGAGACTTGCCGTTCTGCGAATCACCAAATGAAGGAGCGCGCCAGGGGGTTTACGGCCAAAGTTCGTAATTGGCTGGTTCATGCTCTTAATGACAACATTGTTGAGTAATTATGAGGTGAGTACACCTTTCTCTCCTAGAATATCGTCTCGCTCTTTTCAGCTTCCTAATGGTATGATGGTTCTCTGATACTCTATAAAAGGACGTAACGTTTGGCTCCGCTATTTTCGGCGACGCATCACCAAAGAGCTGGAGTTCTCTCCTCTCAGAAAAGCATCCCCTTTTCCAAGCAGGTTACCTATAAAGAGATGACTTGTGCCGACCTTAACCTCCAAGACCCTACGGTCGAAGATTGGGCGGCCTTGGGCCACTGCTTACTACTCCCCTCTCCGATTTTTTTCACTTTCACGGCTCTATCTTCCAACAAATGATTAACTCCAGATGGGACGCTCTCTTGTCATTACCCGGAACACCCTCGTGCGACAGATACCATCAAACTTGACTATTCCAAAACGCATTCTTTCTATAAGGCACTGGAGGCCGATCTCCTCTCCCTCACAGAAAATCAGCTCCCGGACCCTGCCTCTCCTCGGCAGTTGTATGTCGTGGCCTATACCGATGGTTCGTGTCCTAACAATCGGGTCGTCTCCCCGGAAAATCCCGCAGGCTGGGGATTTGCCGTTACTAGCTCCTTGATTAAAGAAGAACCGACCCAAGATACTGAATGGGAACTGTCTTTTGGCCCGGCTAAAACCATACCCACCGATACTCACGTGTTACCCGAAATTTGGGGTTCCAACAAGACGGGCGAACTCAAGGCTCTCATTGAACTTTTCGATTGCTTACTACATTATTCCAACCTTCCCTCCTTTTCGGACATTGTCATCTATACCAACTCTGAATATGCGCTCCGCGTCATTCTAGGTGACTCTCTTCCCAATACACATGAACAGCTTGTTACTCTTGAGCAGCAGTATCATACCGCCTGGCGCACCATTCATTATGTTAAGGTTGCCGGGCATTCTGGCGTCATCGGCAACGAACTCGCAGGTTCTTTGGCCAAAAGAAGTGTTACAGAGTATGGCCCCCTTGGCAGATTTTCAGGCACGTGCACAGCAGCACTCTCCCCTCCCGATATTGGTTACTCCTCTTCCGCGTGGTTATCACTCTCTCCAGACGCGCAAAATACCTTTTTGTTAGAACTCATTCGTAAGCATACCCCACTTATCCCAACTCTCCCGATCTCACCATGGATTTCTCCTTCCACTTTCGAATGTATCACCTCCTTCCAGAAGCAGCATCGCGGCAGAATTAAAAAACTAGTTAGACGCGATAAGAAACAACTTATTTTGGCGAACCTCCAGGAAGACTTTCATGGCTCCGCTATTCAGCAATGGCGCACCGCACGTACAATGTGTAAGGAGTTCCGCCCCACGCCCACGAATCTTATCAACACCAAAGGAAAATTGGTCTCAAAGACGTCCCGGGCAGATGCATTTGCAGAATACCTAGCCAACCAAGTTTGGAAAGCTCCTTCTCCAAAAGCTTTTCTTGACTCTCCCCCTTTTGAGGAGATACCTTAGGCGACGCGCCCATTCACCATGGAAGAACTCAATATAGTGCTTCGCGCCCTTGGTAAACGCAAGGCCCATGCCCCTTATATATTCCGCCTTTATTTACTTGATCACTACAATCAGTGTTTTACTACAGGGGAGGCGCCCGCCTCTTGGCTCCACTCAGAAGTGGTTATGCTCGTAAAGAACTATCAGAAAGACAAAAAATTTCTTTCCAACTATCGGCCAATCTCACTTTCCAATACTATGTATAAAATATACGCCTCCCTTCTTCAAAAACAGTCCATATATTGATCACCGAATCCGATCCACACAGTGTGGTTTTCGCTCAGGACGTTCCGTCACCCAACCGGTTCATATTTTGCGCCGCCTACTGGAAGTGCACAAGAGGCAAACTGAGCTTTTTCACGCCATTTTCCTGGACTGGGCTAAAGCCTTCGACTCGGTCACTTTTTCTGCCATACAAGCTTCTCTGACCTATACTATATGGGTGTTCCGCTTTCTTTCCGTCAAGCGATTTTCTCTCTTTACAATAATCCCACTTTTGTGGTTCGAGATAGCCAGCAGTGCTCCGAACGCTCTACACAAGCCCGCGGTCTCCGCCAAGGTTGCCCCCTCTCCCCTTATTTTTTTGGCTTCGCCCTCGCTCACCTTTTCGAGGATGTGGAAAGACAGTACATTGCAGATCATGGAATCATCTCCGGGGTTCTCCGTCTCGGTTCTGCCCTCTGGGACTTAGAAGACGCCGACGACACAGTAATTGTATCCAACTCCTCTTCACAAGCACAAATCTTTTCCATTTGGTACAGAAGGAAGGGGCGCGAAGAGGCCTGTACCTCAACTATGACACCGATTATCTTCTTACTCCGGTTGATGACCTGAAGGTCCCACTATCTGATGCAGTAAAGTATCTTGGAGTCTACTTGGACCCGCGCTCAACCAACCACAAAATGTTCCACGCGCGTCTCCCGGGCTATGGAGGCTTCTAAGAAGCTTGCCCCGCTCCTGAAACATGGTCAGCTTCCCCCTAATCGGAAGTTATGAGTCTATCGCTCCGTGGTGCAGTCTATTCTTATGTATGCGATGCATAGCATCTTGCTTACTCCTTCTCAGCTCACGAAACTTGACTCAATCCACTACAAATGTCTACGTAAGGTCTGCAAGCTCAAGTCCCCCTACTACCATAGGGTTATCAACCCATCCGCCGCTCCTTGTTTTAACCAATATCTTGCCGAATTGGCTTTCTCCTCTAGGCATGTTTGTTGCTCCCTCCTCGCAGAATCCCTCAACCTCCTGGCCATTTATATAAACACCCGGACTCATTGAGTTCCAGGCCACGTTTATGCCTTCAGCAACACAGCGCCGCACGAGAGGCGCTAACAGAGTAGGCCGACCCACGGCCCATTGGGCCGAATCCTGCTTAGTGGAAGCCTCCAAGCGTATAGCGCACTTACAGTCCGACGCAGCCCCACCGCACTCTTCTATTGATCATGCCTTTTTCGCCATCTCAACAGCATCTGAAATCAGAGCTGAGCACTCTTCTCAAATGGATAATACTCCGCTTTACCGCCAAGTCTCAACTGTTACCAGAAATAGAGCACTTTGGGTTTTTGTTGCACGCAAACCAAGCCGTAAACCCCAAAAGCGCTCCTGACACGGACGGGACCTTCGAGGACCATGCGCTTGCAAAAAAAAAGGTGTCGTCAAGACGAAGAAGGTTGAAAGCGGAGTGTCGGGTCCCAACTCCAGCAGGACTGCAACCCAGCGAAGAGCTGGTGAACTTGATGCTTAGCTGGAAAGGGAGAGGGAGAGTTGAGAGGGCACCGCGGGGGTCTACCGGCTGCGTCCATGCGCGCCACTTGGGCGCCGTCTCAGGCAGCAGTACCGGCAGCGCCACGCGCACTACCGTCGCGCACTACCGCCTTTTCGGCTGTGGCCAGCAGAGGCGGCAGTACCGGCTGTGCTCTGAGTTCCCAGGCCTCGATCCCGACCTGCAACTCCTGTCAGCCAGCGCGCCGATGATCAGCTTCTGGGCAGAAAGGGGAAGAGGCTCTTTGCTTTGAGGGAGAGGCTGAGACTGTCTTTTGCAGCAGGCATCTGGGACGACCACGAAGGAGAGACAGCAAGGCAGCAAGGCGTCGTGCTGTTTGTGTCTCGCCCTGCAGTCGCCAATGACGACTTCAAAGTCGCTGCCCAAGTCGGCATACAGTCGGCCCTATAGGTCCCGGTAGCTCAGAGCTTTGAGCCGAGGACGGTGCTGAGAACCACCGAAGCGAGACACAGGGAGCCTTTGAGGTGGCTTAAGTGTTTTTTGAGAGGAGAGAAGCTCCTGCCAACGCCGGACGAAGCCCTTTAAGGCACGGAAGCTTGCAGCCCTTCGCGCTTATCATGAATGGCCTTCTCCTCACTGCAATTCGAAGCCTTGCAAAGTTGCAGACTTCCGTGCCCATCGAGGTTGCCGACCCGTGTGGACTTCGACCTCAGGAACACCTCCGCTGCCAGCTCCCGAGACTGTCAGCCAAAGCTCAGAGAAAGAGCAGGAGAGAGCGGAGAGTGGAGGCGCCCTGGATGCGTTGGCGGCGCTTCGACTTTGGGAGTCTGGCGACGCTGCTGATGCTGGAGACGAGGCTGCTGGCCAGGAGCAAGCAGGAGCGCTGGAGCGGGAGGGCCGGGCCGGAAGACATGTCCGAGAGGGCTCCACTCCAAGGCCCGGACGGAGCAGAGCGTTCGGGCGGAGATCGCCGCCGCCTGGGCCCTGGGCCGCAGCGCGCCGCAGCACCTCTCTTTGCGGAAAGTTTGCGGCGGAGGTGCTGAACGGGGCCTGGGCCCTGTCCCCGAGTGCCTGGCCAGGCCCGCCCCAGCACGCAGCACGCCCCAGCAGACCAAACACGGAGCGCTGTAATTATAGGCGGTCGGATCGAGAAGAAGATGCGCAAAGTCCAGTCAACGGTGGAGGCAGCGGGCCCTTGCCTGCTTGCCGACAAGCGCCGAAAGGAAGAGAGCATCACTGCATCACTCTCGGCAATGGCTTGCAGGCTGACCGGGATGACCCAAAGAAGAGGATGCTTGGAGACAGCCAGCCGGGAGTCCCAGCCGCAGCCCTGAGGGAGTGGCCGCCAGAGTCTCGTTTTCGTGAGGCTGGCGTGGATTTCGCAGCAGGCAGCCAGCGAGGGCAAGCCGGGCAAGTGGCTGCTGATCGGCCAGCCGCAGGTGGTGCAGGAGCGGGCCGGATGTACAGCCGGAATACGGAGGGAGCTGCGTTGTCTGCAGATGAGCATTAAGCGGCGGCGCGGCGCATCTGCGGGGTTTTCTCAGGAGCTGATGAGCCCCAACTTCCTGAGCCTGACGAGCCGAGGCCTGGCAGGGCCTGGCAGGGCCTGGCGGCCGCCACACGTTCGTTTGCGGCCTGGACGGAAGGAAATTCTCCGCACTCCGATCCGCGGTCCGAGTCCGAGCGCTGGGCGGAGATCGTGACGAACCTGACAAAGCGCGGTGCGCTGTATCGGAACTACACCGACGACGAGGGAGAGGCGTTGGGTCAGGCGGGCTGCGGCGGCGGAGGGTTTGTGAGTCGGAGGCTGACTTCGTGTCTTCGGAGCTGCGCAAGGCCTTCTTGGTGGCCGGGGGCCCCAAGCGGGAAGCGCCCCCAGCGCCCCCAGCGCGCGGAGCCTTTGCTGCTCTCGAGCGGCTCGAGGACCTGGCAGCTGGCCGATTTCGAATCCAGTGCGGGGCTCAGCGCGGGGCTCGGCTGGGCTCGGCTCCTCGGCTCCCACTGCGCGGCTTCGCCTCGCCTCAGTCGCTCCTCGACTGTTGCGGAGGCTGAACTTCGACAGCTGGACGGGCTATGTTGCTGAGCGACGGAAGTTGTTGCAGTCCCTCCGTGGCCCGGCGCCAGCCATCATCTACGGTGGGGACTCGCATAATGGATGGGCAGGCGCAAGTCTAAGCCTCTGCTTCGTACTCGTAGCTCCCATGGCACTATGGTATCTTCGACGGGGCATGACCTTGGCACGACAGTTCCGGCCAAACTCGTAAGAGCAAGCATGAACCATGCCAGAGTCCAAGAGCTGCCATGGAGGCTGACTCGCATCGACTGGAACTATTCCACCCCGCGCAACAGGGGTTTAGAGGCTTAGAAGTCTCAGGATTTGAGTGTGTATTACGAGGGTGAAATCTCGATACGCCAAGATTCAGCTGAGAGTGCCTTGTGTTCTCTGCCATCGTGGGTGTTTGTTTATTCTTGATCTAGCAGCGCTGTTCATGTGAAATTGTTTTATTTTTTGCGCATCTATTGCATGGCTTAATCTGCTTGATGTTATCCACTTCTTGCATTTAGGTCCTTTTAAGCGGTCTTTCGCGCACCACCGGCTGCGCCATCTGCTGCTCGCTTGTGCAGTAAGGTATAGGATGAGCCGGAATCGCTAAATGAGGGGGTGTCGTAAAGATGTATGAGGAATTGGAATCGCCAAACGAGAAGGCATGTTTAAGACAGATTATGAATCCGGAATCGCCAAATGAGGGGGCGTTTTTGTGATATGATGAACCGGAATCGCCAAATGAGGGGGCGTGGTTCAGCTATATGGTTCATCCCAATCGCGAAATGAGGGTTTAAGATATAGGATGAGTCCGAGGAAGTATCAGTGTTAAAGCCTGAACCCTAAAGTTGAATCTGGTGGCCGGAATCGCCAAAGGAGAGGCCGTGTTTAAGATATATGATGAACGCTATCACCAAATAAGGGTGCGTGTTTAACTTACATGAGGAACCGGAATCGCCAAATGAAAGGCGTGCGTGAGATATAGGATGAATCCGAGGAGGTTTTGAAGCTTACAGCTTGAACCCAAAATTTGAATCCGGTGGCCAACTGACCCCGAAATTCGATTGCTAAGTTGGCTTAATGACCCCGGTTTTCGGTGGCTGCCATACGTGACAATAGAGGCTTTTGTTATGAACATCTAGAAAACGTAGAGGTTTTCTTGTGAAAATGTAAGGAAAACTAGAACTAGAGGTATTCCTATGGAAGACAGAGACCCCCCCCCGGCCCCCACCACTCCCTCCTCCTCCTCCTCCTCCTCCAAAAAAAGGCCAAAGAAACAACCATCAAGAGTAAAAAACTCTCCACCCTCCTTATTGAGTCTTTGGTCGCCCGATCACGTGGCCAAAAACATAGATTTTCCGGTGTCGCGTCGGTACACTAACTGGATGAAGATTCAATCATGCATCGTCTTACTTTCTGGTGGCTGCATGCTTCTCCTACAGCATTTCACATTCGTCCTGCGGAAACCGGTCTGAGCATCAGCATTCACCACAGTTGAAACGTAGCGGCAGGCGCCTTTGGTTGCTCTTTTCAGGCATCCTTCGGGACAGCGGCCCGGACCGCGACGCTGTGGCCGTAGAGTTCGACGGCATGTCCGTCACGAGCCCTGGCCTGGAGTGTTGCTCTCGGGCGAGCATACGGCATACGCATTCTGCAGCAGAAAGCCGAGGGTTCGCCTCCGTGCGTTTAGGTCCCAGCGTCCTTTTTTGCCCCCTGGCCTTGAAGCAGCTGCCGCGAGCTCAGAGAAGAAGGACGCGCCGGCTCCAGCCTAGAGCTCTCGCCGAGGCTTGGCAAGCAGCCAATCCCGACCTTGCGTGGGCAGTCCCTTTGCCTGAATTCGTTTTGCTGTGTTTTGCGTGGTGTGTGTGTGTGTGTGTGTGTGTGTGTGTGTGTGTGTGTGTGTGTGTGTGTGTGCCTGCGTGTGTGCGTGCGTGCGTGCTTGTGCGTGTGTGTGTGAAACCCTGTCGCCAGGGGCGAGAGAATGGATGCCGCAAACAGTTTCAGAACAGCAGGGGCAGAGGCAAACCTGGACATCCAATGGACGTACCTGCATGGCCGCCCAAGCAATATCCCTCAATTGCTGCGTTCGTGCTGGCCAGTGATATTATCGCAGATTGCAGCAAGTGAAGAGATTGAAGCTGAAGAGATGCCTCCTGCTAACCCATGTTATAGCACCGGCTATATCGAAGGTCGTTCCGAATGTGTGAACCGGCTGTATATCTTTCACAGTGCCAGTGGTGAGGCTCCAGCTTTATGTAGAAAACTCGGTGGCCATAGGATGGGCGCAACATTTTTTCGAAGTACTCTCCTACATACCTTCTGAAAGATGACGGGGAAGTGTCCACCCTTGCTCCTAAATGCGACATCTTCTACATGTCAAAAAGTGAACAGCAATGTCTGCCCGCTCACTCTCGTCGACGTGCCGAGCTCTGCAGGGAGAGGAACTTTCCCATGGCCAGTAATTTGGTCATTTCAGTTTGAGATGTGAATCAAGACAGAGAGAATGAAAGGAGGAGATCGGCACGGGCGGTGGGGTTAACACGTTCAAGCTCCTGCTTTGCCGGGCATGAAATGCCGAAATCAGCATGCCAAGAATCTACCATTGCATACTCGAGACACATGACCGGAACACGTGTGCGTGGAAGTCTGTTTGAGCGCGTAAAGACGGTTGGAAGCGCGTGAAGTGGCGCTGATTCTCAAGCTGCCGACCCTTCCCTCCCACGGCTTGATGCCGAGAGTTTCACATGGAGCTTTGCGCAGAACGTTCAAGCTTCTGCTTTGTGGGATCCGGGTATGAAATGCCGAAACCAGCATGCCAAGATTCTGCCATTGCATGGGCTGACGTAACAGTAAGTTACGTCGAACAGAAGTTGTTCGCTTGCAGTTGTGCGGACAATCGATTGTGGACAATCGCTTGGTGGCTTTTTCCGAACAATTCTGAGACAGTCAGTGGCTTTCAAAATTTGGCAACTTGAACCTTTACGTGAATCCTGTACAATTGGCACAAAGGCCATATAATGGTAGCCATGAACAGCTGAGTATGTCTTGCATCCAGATGCTTTTCTCCAGACATAAGAGGTCCAAAACATGTGCAGACACTACGAAAACATACAATATTTCGCTGTTAAGTTCCGAAAAACAAAGTGCCTTGAGATGCTTATAGCAATTTTGCAGCACAAGGTTTGTGAACTTGCATTCAGTTCGTACTACCCCTTCACCGGCGCGACTGGGTGTGTAAAATCCTGTCGCCAAGGGCATTGATCTCAGATGCATGCCCGGAGCAGTTTCAGGACACCACCCATAAAGATTCCTTTGCTAACATAGCTGATCTGTATGAAGTGACGAAATGATGATCACCTGATGGCCTGGCAAGTGAGGATATCGCAGATTGCAGCGACGAGACTGAAGCTGAAGTGATGACCTGCTATCCCATGTTCTAACTTCGGCTATATCGCGGGTCGTGTGTGCGGGTGTGCGTGTGTGTCTCTGTTTGGGTGCGTGGGTGGGTGGGCGGGTGTGCGGGTGTGTGTGCTGACTTAAGCAGCTTACATCAAAAAAGATGCTGACACCGGAGCCTGGGCCACTCAGCTCGAACCTTCCTTGACAAATTTTTGATCTTCTTTTTATTTCAACAGGCCGCAAAACTCCTGGAGCAATCTTCTCCCCTCGGCCTTTGTTCCTTTTTGTCTGCTTGTTTGGCCTTGGGGCGCTAATCTCGCTGACCCTTCACGGTGAAGCTCATTCCCCACAAGATCTCGGAAGTGGACCCAAGGACACGTCCCGGCGCGGCTTTATGCTCGTGCAGCTCGGTTTGGACAACCACCGACTCGAGGCAAGTTGCCTGAGCTGCTTGAACTCGCGCAATCTGCTGTTCTGCCTTCTTGCAGTACATCGCCGTGGATGTTTCGACCCCAAGCAGAGGTCCGAACAGCCTCGCTTGTCCATGTGGGTGAGGTGAGTCCCTGCTCGAAGGCACCAATGAGGGCACCGACAGCTGCCTCGCTGGATTTGATGTTGGGCGCGACCTGCGCCTTTCGGGGCCAAAATCCTGCAGGAAGACAAAACCCCTGTGGCCAGCACCACCCTGGAGCCTACAGCCTGGCAACCCACTGCGTTGAAGTTTGCAGGACGGCGGGGGCATCGTCTGCGTCGCTCGCTTCTGGGAGCATAGAGCCGTCCATGCCGTCCTGGCGCTTGCTGCCTTGGCCTTGGCCTTCTTGGGCCCTTTCGGCCCTTTCGCTCTGAGTCTTTTTTCGGCTCTGCAAGGGCGCCACTCGTGCTGCTCGCATTGCTGGCGGCGTTCTTGGGCTTTCTCCTGGGGCGCGCGACAGGCTCGAGCTCGAGCTCTCGGCCAAAAAGCTCGAGCCTCAGCCTTTCGGCACCAGCAGGGCAGGGTTCTCGCAGCTCCTCGCAGCTCCGCGCCCTGTGGAGACCGAGCAGGTCGCGGCTACAAGCGGCCCTCGGAAGTGGAGGCAGCGGAGGCAGAGGCAGACGGCCTTCAAGCTGCGCCAGTGGGGCGCTCACAGAGAGACGGCATATGACGGAAAAAGCCAACTTGCAACGGCGCCGCTCATTCTCTCGACTGAGTTTGTCTTGCCCAGGCTGAAGTTGCCGGTGCACGCTTCGACTTTGCTCAATGAGGAACCAAGCACCTTCAGATTCAGCAGGAACATTCAAGAGTCCCAACCCGACAGAGTCCGATGGAATCCCATTCTGAGCCAAGAGCCACGGCACTGTCAAGTTTGTACAGTGATGGCCGCTGTGGCACGTGTGGTGAAGCCACGCGCTTTGGGGCTTCTCAGCGAAACAGAGATCTGACACGCGGTCGGTGTGTGTGTGTGTGTGTGTGTGTGTGTGTGTGTGTGTGTGTGTGTGTCTAAAGCGCAGCGTGGGATGCAGTGCGGTGAGGTCTGTGGTCCTCTTCGGCGCTTTGTTCTCCGTGCCGCCTCCGACGGCGGGTCCTGGCTGGACGCAGAGTCCGAGAGCCTCGGCCTTCGTCTCGGAGCCGAGCCTCGGCGCAAAACACTTTTACACACACACACACACACACACAGACACAGACACATGCCTGTGTGCCTGTGTGCGCCTTGTAGTGATGGTGGGGTGGGTCTATGCTGCGCGAGGCTTTCGCCTCTCCGGCTCAGGGAGATCCAGACCCGGCGGATCCTGTCTTCGCCACGCTCTGCCAGCGCTGGCCCAGGCACGAGCAGTGCCAGCAGTGCCCGGGCCCAGGTGTGGGCCACTGTGAAACCTTCTGCGTGTGCGGCACGTCGTGGACGTGGACTTGAGGGCGTGCAGGAGCGGCAAGAGTCCGCTCGTCGTCTGCTAGAAGACATCGTTGGCGTGGCGTGCGGCCGAGAAAGCTGCGACTGGAACCAGAAGCTCCGGCTGCTGCGTCGCTGCGTTGGCATCTGAGGTGAGCTCGGCAGGCATCGAGGCCCTGTGCGCGCGAAGCCTGCGAAGCCTGCGAAGCTTCTGTCTTTGGTGTTGTGAGGCGGGCGCCGTGCGTGGCCTCCAAGCCTTGCGGGCCACGCTTTTGACCGCCGTGGAGGCCGCCCAGAGCGAGGAGCTCCGGGAGGCCCACAGCCGGGCGCCGGGCACTGCAAGCCGGTCGCCGCAGCCGCAGCTCTGCTGCTTGCGTTGAGGCGTTGCAGGCGTTGCAAGGCCTCTCCCGTGGGGAGCCCGTGGAAGATGCCCCCTTGGCACGGCTCCTGCGACGCCTCTTCCAGAGGTGCGGTTTGTGAGAGCGGTTGGGAGCGGATGGGGGGAAAAGGGAACGGCTCGCTTTAGGCTGGGGAGCACCTACGTGAAGCTCGGGCAGTTCATTGCGCCCGGGGACCCCAGCCTGGCTCTGCCTCCGTGCTGTTTGGAGCAGAGCGGCAGAGCGATGTGCTCGTCTGCAGGTCCTCTCCTACACTCTTTCCGGCGGCTTACGTCCGGGAGTTCCAGTGTCTTGGCGGCAGAGTGTCTATTTGCCACGGGCTTTTACCCGTCCTCGCGCTGCAGTCATGACTTGCATACTCCGAAGAGTGTGTTGTCAGACAAGCAGGAAACTCTGCAATGGTGAATAACGTCAACACAATCAAGATCCTGGCATCAATGGCGACGATTCTACAGCACGCTGTCGGATTGCAGTGTTTGATCTCTCGTCCTCGGTCCTGCAGAGAAGTGCGACCGTGGACCTGAGACTTTTGGTATGAACAGCGCTGAATCAACCCTGATCCCTGCGACATGCGGTCACAGGACCTGCGACGCCGTCGCCACAACAAAGCCCAACAGGAAGCAACATGAGCAATTCACAAAAGAAACAGAGACTAAGGACACCGACAATAGCAATGAACACCAGAACCATAAGCAATGCCGCCAAAGCAAGCGCAATACCGCCGACCGCGACCAACATGCAACCACACGGCATAAATCAGCACATCTGTACAACAAGTGCTAACAGCAGAGATGGCGGAGCTCCTGCCTCCTGCATCCCGTCCCCAAAGTGTGGAGCTCTCGGTGCCTTCTTTCGAAAGTCCAGACTGGAACTTTCGAATGAGATCTGGTTTTGATGGAGCAGAAGGACGTCGCAATTCGCAATCAAGGCAATCAAGGCTTTCTTTGCGCATCTCTGCAAAGGACAGCCGCTTGAAGTCGTAGAAAGGCGTGCGCAAGCGAAGAAGCTTCTAGTGTATCACCACACGTACAGGAGCGCTCCACCTGTCCGTGCGAAGCAGGAATAGAACTCTTTGGGCTGCCCAGCCGTCTTCTTTCGCAGCCAAAGAAGTTACGCGAAAGCAGGCACAAGGATACTTCCTGTTGATCCTTCCTGTTCTTTTCGACACAACTCGTCCACTGCTTGAAGAATGCCCACATTTGCTACATCGCGTTAATGCTTTCTTGACAGCATGCCGCTGCTAAGCCAACACAAAACAAAGCAAAACGCCGAAGAAGCCAACATCAGAAGTAGTAACGACACCAAAGCAGTCAAGTTGCAGAGAAACGAGCGCAGCTTTGCTGTTGTGCCCCTGTCTGAGCATCTGAGGCGATGCCTGGACCGCACGGAGCCCACGAGCTTCGCAGAAATCAGGTGCTTGGGCTGCACAGCAGTCTCGGAGACTCGGAGCAGAGCAGCAGAGCAGAGGAGTTCTTAGGCGAAGTCTGGAGGCGGACCTGGGGTCAGCAGCTCGGTCGGAGTGTCGCGGTGTCGCTCCGACGGCGAGCTGTTCCGAGGCGGCCGCTGAGTGCCGTGTTCAGCTCCTTCGAGGAGGACCCCAAACAAAACCGGGTTGTTTAGAGAAGCCGCTGTTCGGCATTTGGCGATTATGTCGCCCGGCTCCAAGACGGATGCTTACATGATTCTTCCAAACTTTCCCGATCTCGACAAGCTTGAGTACAGTTCTGTTTGGCAAGCAGGTTCATATACATGTCGTGATCATGGTTTTTGTTGGGCCCGTAGTTGTAGGGCACCGTAGCCAAGAGATAGTTCTGATACGTTAGATGATGTTTGGGTAATGGGTCCCTTTCCATCTTGCCAGATATACGTCTGGTCGAAATGTCAATTTTCGTAAATCTCACGCATGAGGAACAATTCCGAAGCTGCAGGTTTGTGTGTGTGTGTGTGTGTCATCCCTGTACCAAAGGGCTAAGTAAATTCGCAAGGGGCATCGCGCTTGTGCTCTTAGTCATGCCAATGAAGCCATAGAGCACACTTGGAAGGGAATGTAGGCGTACATTCCTGCACCTGCAAACGAGATTGGCATGGGCGATTGCTTTTCACAGCTTGCAATCTCGATGTCTTTACACAATCCACAGTTGCTGCATGTGCATGTTTTGTCCTCAGCTGCATTTGCAAGTATGAGATTCTGCGTTGCGTTCTGCGTCTGAATAAGGATTGCAGAGCATAGATGAGCTATGAGACTCGCAACCAAGAGATGATGATAACATAAAGCAGCAGATCGGGACATAACGGGAGCAGGTGCTTCTACAGCAGCGGGCTGCTGTTGTCCATCGTGTCGTACGTTCGCGCCCGGTCCGGTTATTTCCACGGCCGATCCGGCTGGCTGAGCATCAGCACTTCTCTCGCTCGTTGCAGCCCACCACGAGCTTGCTCGCTCGCAGTCTTGCATCCAGATGCCCTAGGAGCTCTGCCCGAATCCAAGGGACCCGGAGCCCTTCCCAAAAACAACGTCGAGGAGCTTCCAGATCTTCGAGTCTTCTGAGCAGGAGGTACGCCATTCACAGTTCCATAGTTGGGCCCTGCAGCTTCTCCGTCCATGGTAGCCACACATTCACTTGGGCGACTCATAACCGTCATAACCTGTAAATCGCTGTCCGATCTTATAGCATATCGTCTTCACTGAAAGTCCGAAGGGGGAGGATACATGGCAAGCCGGCACCGAATTTCTTGTACACGACCTGCGACTGTTGTAAGCTCTGCGGCCTGCATATGTACTTCGACATGCACTGCCTTGCATGCTTTCCAACTGCGCATGTCCAGCATCAGAAGCTTCACACCTGCCGTTCCAAAACAAGCATGAAACACCGATCAGCCTTCAACAGCACTATGCGTGCGGACATTGACTCATCTACCCACTGTCCTCTTCGACATCGAGCACCTCCGGTGCGGGGGTGTCCTCACCGGAGGGCCTGACGCTGACGGGACGAGGTCGTGCTGTGCTCCTTTCCTTGTTCAGAACTTGCGCCAACGCACCTCTTCAGCCTTCATGTCTTCTAGGTCCAGCGAGGCCGGGATGGACCGTGTCCAGATCTAGCTTCCGACATTCTCACGCTGGCCTAATGCCCAGAAGGTGCTGAAGTGGGTTTGTTGGAGAGACATCGAAGTGATTGTGAATGGCTGCCTGACTTGTGCGAAACAAAAAAAGACGCCAAGGACACAGGCAACAGTGAACGTGAAGCTTGCGCAACTTGCATGCTGCAAGGAGGTCATGCCGGACTTTGAGGGCCCCATGCTCCCGGCTGGTCTCTCAGGGCGTCCTGTTTGAGTAGTGCCCGGACCTGACGTGCTGCGTCCCGCGACTCCTCTCGGATGCATTACAGAGCTTGAGAATGTGGTACCCCCAGCATGACAGCTAACTCGATCGTCCTCCTTGCCAGCTTGATGGCTCCGCCAAGTCCCCTAGAGACTCTCCTGGCCTTCGTTGGCACCCTTGCCGTATCACCCGGGATATTCTCGCTGTGAGCGTACTACGGCTGAAGGTGGTGCCGCAGGGACCACGGGTGTCAACGAAACCTTCTCTTTCAAGAGTGGAAACTTGACGATCGCGAGTGTCTTGTTTTCGCGCTTCCCGACGACGTGCCCATAAGCTTACGTTCCAGCATCCTCGGCAAATGGAAATCCACTCCCCCCAGGCCGCTTCCGTCTGCGGAGTCCAGCAAGTCATGCCAAGTGGAAGGGGATAGTCTCAAGCTCTTCGCCCTCACAAGGTATCTCGGGTTTACGATGCCCGTGCCCGCACTCGTATGCCTAGGACGGTAGAGCTTCCTACGCTTGCCATGGTGACCGCAACGCTGTCACCTGCTGGCAAACGGCTCATGTCGAGCTGCTAACTCTGGCCAGCTTGCAGGCGGAGAGCGGTTTCGCCGCCGGCATATGCATAGACGACCCTGTGTTGGAAACGCCGGCAAGACACGGGGTTGCCTGGCAAGGGGTTTAGCGAATTTTCCGCAGTAATGAGGCAAGGAGGCAAGGAGTCGAGTGTTACTTACTTTTTGCAAGTGCTTGGGAGCTTTGGAGTGTTCTGTTTCCATGGTTCGGACTGCATTGAAATAAGAAGGCACAAGCGAATGTCGAGAAGTTGAAAGCAGAAATGGAGCCGATACTGTAGGCTCTGTGCTTCAGGAGCCGCTGGCCTCCGTGGCGGCCTCGCATGTGGACACGCGGCCTCGCCGAGTCACGTGGGAGTCAAAGGGCAAAGCGCAGCGATGAGGCGTCCGTGGCTCAAGTGCATGTTGCGGCCGGGGGCCAAGAAGGGGGCCAAAGAGATCCGAGAGCTGAGCGGCTAGCGTGTAGAGCTCAAGCAGGTGCTGGTGACTGGGGAGCGCGTGGCCGTGAAGGTCCAGAAGCCCGGCGTGGAGCAAGTTTTGCAGGTGCGAGTCGGCGAGTCGGCGAGTCGGCGAGGCGTGTTCAGGTGTGCCACGGCCTGAGCCCGAGGCCGACCTTGGCTTCCTCTTCCTCGCGGCCCGCACATTGGAGCTGGGATGAAGCAAATGAGGTATCTGCGTTGTGCGCGGAGTCCGCTCCTGCCAAGGTTTCTGAGCCCAGACCTCGCCAGAACCTCCGTGGTCGGGGTGCCTGGGTCCGCTGGCGCTGCGCTGGGCTTGCGGCTTGCAGCTTTGCACTGCAGCTTTAGGTCGACATCCTTTCAGAAATCCGCAGCTCCATGCTTCTCGACACGATTCCGAGACGCTAGGACCGCTTTGGTTCCTCTTGCCCGGCTCTTCGGCCAGGAAAACCACAAAGCTTTTCAAACCTGCTTCTTTTGTTGCAAGAAGTTGTGGGCAAAATGCTGCGGCAGGCGTTCTCGCTTCTCCCTGCTTCTGCACCCTTTTCAGTAGCCGTAGCCGGACCTTCCAGAAAATATCACAGAAGCAGACAGCTTGTGAGCCGATGAGGCGCTTGTGGCAACTCGAGCTTGGACGAATCCGGTAAATTCAGCAGCAACGTGCAAAGTGTGAATGTGCAAGGTCTACCAGGTCTCCAGGTTGGCCTCGTATCTGCGAAGACTAACCAACACGTTGTTTGAGGTCTCGGCGTAGGATGGACAGGAGTTCTGGACGTGTTCTGTATTGCAGGGGTGCTGGGGTCTGGGACACCTATCTTCGTACTTCGGAATCGTAGGACAACTTGACAGCGGTCTTGCTTGTCTTGTCGGGGGAGTGGGCTAGCAAACCTCGCCGCATCTCAAAACCACAGTCGTGCCTGGTCGAGCCTTCTGGCTGAGGGCGTGTTTTGTTTCACGCCGGCTGTCAGGTTGGATGAGTTGGACTTCACGAAGGAGTCAAACAGCAAAACAGCGCGGGAAGCAGCGGCTTGCTGCAGCTCGAACCCGGCGCGAGGAGATGGAGAACCTCGAGACGTTTCGGAGTTTCCTGCAGCAGAAGGGCCTCGAGCCCATCGCCGCAGCACCGAGGACAAAGCAAGAGCGAAGCGGAAGCTTGTGCTTTTCGTCTTTGCCGCCCGGGAGACGCCCCCCAGATTGCAGAAGGACCTTTCCGGAGGCATCGGGGAAGAAGGCCCGCCGCCGCCGCTTAAAGCCTCCAGATATCATCGCAATTAAATATATATATATATATATATATATATATATATATAGAAAAGGGGGGGCCGGGGGGGGCTCCCGGCTGAGGTCCTGACCATGGAGCTCTTCCAAGGCGTTCCCCTCACGGACCTCCAAGGCCTGGAGAGAAGCCCCGAGCCGAGCGAAGCGAAGCGCGAAGCGGCGGCGGAACGGCGCAAGAAGCCGCCGCGGGGGGGTGGGGGTGGGGGGGGGGGAGGCGTATAGCGGAACGCGCGCGGCGCCTGGCGCCTGGCCGCGCCACTGGCCGCGCGGAGGCATTCGGCAGTACAGCAGCAACCCAGAAGAGACATTGATCAACGCCTTGAATGTGAAGCACTCAGATCTGCCGTTCTGCCGGAGGTTTCAATCCTTGAATCCCTTTCCTTGAGCAGTTGCAGGTTTGGTCACTCTCTGTGAGGGCCTGCGAGATTTTCCATGCCGATGCGGCCGGACTCAGTGAAAGGAGCCAAGGAGCAGGCAGCCAGGTGCGCGTTGGTGCGCGTTGGAGACTGTAAGGTCCATGCAGGAAACCTCCTCGTGCTGGAGGCCCATGGCTGGCGGCTTTCTGGGCTGGGCTCTGGTCTGTGGTTGTGAGGACGGCCGCGTGGGCTTCATCGACTTCGGCATCGTCGGCAGAATCCCGCCGGAGCCAAAGAGAGAGACTTCAAAAGGAAGGCGACTGTGCGGGGCGCTGTGCGGCGCTGTGGGCGTGGATTCGGATTCTTCAGCTCCGCCCAGGCCGAGGATCTGGGATGCCGTGGAGGGCTTGGCTTTCTCCTTCGCCGGCAACGACGCCAAAGGGATGGCCAAGAACCTCATTGCCAGACACTCGGATCACGAGAGGAGACTGATTGGGCCAGACAGACGAAGAGAATCTGCAGCGGGCGGACTCGGACTTGTGTTCTCCCGTGTGTGTGTGTGCGCGCGTGCGTGCGTGCGTGCGCAGGTTTCCAAGGGTCTTCGCTAGCTGGTTGCACAAAGCACAATGGGGTACCTGTGTACCTGTGCCAACGAAGCTATCCACCATGGGAGAAACAGACCCTGATCACCTTCGACCTTGGCTGTGCATTGGTTGTCATGACATTGGGTATGCCCTTATTTCTGGACAGCAACGGGCCAAGCCGATTTCACCCCGATTTCGACCGTCAGCGCGTGTTGTATTGCTTGACCAATGCAGTCCCGTGTCAGCCTGAAGTTCATACACACTTGAGGCGATTAAGTCGAGTCTTCGGGTTTAGGCAGGCAGGTGAAGGTTCAAGGCGATTTATACTGCTCTACATCTTCGAAATTTCTTGTACACGACAAAAGCCTACACTGTTGGAGTTGTTAGACTGTTAGTGTGTTTTCTTGTCCCGGACCGGGAGGTTGTTGTCATAAGCCCCGGTGCTGCACTCAGAAGCTCCAAGTTCGGAGCGGCGAGATGAGTTTTTCCCAGCGCGTAGCGGCGTAGCCTACGTGGGCCGATCCGGTTCCATTATATGCTGCAAATGCTGGCAACCACAAATCCGGCTTCATGCCACTAAGGCACTAAGTCACGTCAAGCACCGAAGTCGCGTCAATCAACCAACTAGTGATATTGGAGGCAGGTTCTCATGTGCTTCATTGATTGACTTGTCTGATATGTAGTTGTTTTCCTGATTTTGCACTGTGGTGATACTGTAGCAGTTTCTGTCTGTGCAGAGTCTGACATTTGGCCACGGCTTCAATCAGATCTTAGAAGGAGTTATAACAGAAAAGTAGCTTGGAGCGGATCCAACTACTCGTCAGCGTGCAGAGATTAATAACATTTGGCTACGAGATAGGCCAGACTCTGTTTGTATTTTTTGCCATTTATAGCTACCCAACGGCCTGGTCCACATCCAGTTATGCGTCAGCCTGCAGAGTCTGACGTTTGGCTACGACATCAGCTACGCTTTGGAGGGCACCTCTAAGTCTTTAACTACCCAACAGCTTGAGCGGATCCAACCAACCACCCGTAATCGTGCAGACTCTTACATCTAGCTACGACGTCAACCAGATGTTGCAGAGTATTCGGCTGGAGCGCATCACATTACCCGTCAGCGTGCAGAGGCTTGGAGGCATCCAGCTACCCAGCAGTCCTCGAGATTTCACTTCACGGCTGGTTTGTAGTTACACTGTGCCTGCAGAGTTATCTGTTTGGTGTCAACTTCGACCAGAACTTGGAGGGCATCCAACTACGCAGCAATTTACAGCTTTGGTGCAGCCTGCAGAAGTTGACGTTTGGCAACACGTTCAACCAGAGCTTGGAGGGCGTCCACCCACCCAGCAGCCTGCAAAGTTTGACGTTTGGCAACCAGGGCTTGGAGGGCGTCCTAGAGTTTGCCATTCCACTACCACCTGACAACCTGCACAGTTTAAACCGCCGCCTCTTTTTTTGAAGCAGCTGTTCGTTTCCGCAGCCTTTTGTCGTCCAGAGCTGGCATAATTTTGCCTACACTTCAACCCGAAATTGGAGGGCACCCAGCCACCCAATATTTTGCAGTTTTGGTGCTTGGCTTCGACTTGAACTAGGCCTTTGATTCTTTGATGCTACGGGGCTACGACTTCAATTATAGTTTGGACACTTGGAGGGCATCCAACCACCCGCGGCAGCTTGCAGAGAATAAGACGTTTGGCAAAGACTTCAGCCGCAGCTTGGAGGGCATCCAACCACTCCTCATCCAGCAGAGTTTTACTTTTGGCAGAGAATTCAACTAGAGCTTGGAGGGGGGCGTACGGTCGCCCGGCAGTCTGCAGAGATTGACGTTTGACAACGACTTCAACAGAGCTTGGAGGGCCTCTAACTACCCAGCAATCTTCTAGGTTTCAGTGGACATGACCTACTTTTCATCATCCAACTCATAAACCTGGCAAGCCGCATCGATATCACGGAATGAAGTGCTTTCGGCCAGTTAACAGGTCCAGTTATCCATTCAGGACATAGAGGTTGGCTGTATCCAGAAGTCATGACCCTCGAGGGTGATGCGTACATGTGTGTGGTGCGGCGCAGTATTGTGTGAAGGTGCCCGCGGTGCCCAAGGCTGCTCGTGTTTGTTATTGTTAGTCTCGTGTGTTGGCCTAGGCAATGGGAGCCACGGACAGCTTCGTCAACGAGTCGGCGCTGGCCTCCGATGTGCAGAAAGTCCTCTCAAGGACGGACTCACGGGCTGCGCATGTTTTGCGGTGCACCGCGATCGTGCGATCATCGCATTGCAGGATCGCTGGCTTGCAGCCTGAGGCCCGTGGGAGCTCGAACTTGAACGCTTTTGCCGGTCTGGCTCTCTGATCGTGCAGGTGGTTTTAAGGGGCAAAGGCGACGGCCGTGTGGTGGCCGAGGCGTGGGCGAGAGACGGCGAACGCATGGTTTGGACAACTTTCCGAACCACGGAGGTGGGCTTGGACAACGACCAGGTCACGGAGCTGCTGCTCGAGGTGTGCTGCGCGTGCTGCGCGTGTGCAATTCGGGAGCTTTCCTGCTCCTCGCTGTTACTCAGGTGATTCGTGCGGCGGACAACAACGGCCTGAAGCTGCCGAGGGAGTTTGCCCTTCTCGTGAAGCAGGCAACAAGAGATCTGGGGTCACCTTGTTGCGGCTTACCGAATCGTTTTGGGCAGAGCCTTAGGCCTTGTACTTCGACCGCTATACAAAGCTCCTGGCGCCGGTCGCTGGGGAAAGGCACGAGTGGTGCGGGCCTACTGTCTTTGCTGGTTGGAGGACCTGGATCCGCTGCGAGACTCCCGGGTAGCGCTGGGCAAAGGCGAGGCGGTGACACGAGAAATCGCATCCGCCCGCGCATGAACCTCTCTCTGCGCAGCTGTTCAGAGCACGTCCCGAGAAGTGGAGCAGTTGAGCTGGGAGCCGCCATGGGTGCTTGGCCAAGTCCCAGTGCCAGCGGGGATTCGACGGAGGGTGGGGCGTGTGGAGCGTGTGGAGCCTCGGAAAGTCGTCGCTGCCGCGGAGCCTCCCGGAGCCTCGAAGTCCGGAGCTTGGCGCTTTCGATCTCTCTCAGCGTCGACGAAGAGACAACCTGCAAAGAGCTCGCCTCGGCCATCGAAGCCCAGCTCGGTGCTGGCCTTAACATGTCCCCCAAGCTCCTTCCGGCTCCTTCCCTTTTTGGGGCCTTGCAGGCTTAGGCGCCGAAGTGCAGCAGTGGATCGTCGAAGGAGCCGTGCAGGCCTTGGCAAGTTCGGTCCAAAATCTAGAGGCACCTTTTCATCGAAAGAACAAATCAATCAAATCAAAGGCTTTGGCACATGGCCGGGATAACTGTTGCCAGTGGCGGAGATCCCCGTTTGATTATGTTTGGCAGGGAGCCGCGTGTGGTCAAGCAACTGTTGTTACTCCACCCTGCCGGGCGCTGCTTGTTGCCACACTTAAATCCGGATAGACGGCAATACAAACAGGATCGTTTCCTATCACGTGTTGGCCAGTGGCCGAAGACCAAGGGCCGGTGGCCGAAGACCAGTAACATCAGAACTGAAGCTCAGGACCGCGCGTTCTTGTTCGCAACAGCATGCAACAGCGGATTTGCGGTCAGATGTTACAGCTGCCCCGCACATAACGGCATGACATAAGTCAAAGCTGCATCAGCCTTAATTGCACTTCACGACAGAATGAACCAGTAAGCCGTCACTCAAAAACATGACTGGTCAACAAGTGTAAAAACCAGTATCTTCAAACCGCAGCAGTGAATGGAACATCAAATGTCAACAGTTTCTCGCAGCCGCACCCAATTTGACAAGCGAATGCAACTCGCAGCAGTTGAACAAGACGACATGTGTGAGGGAAAGGGAACCTCGCATGCAGCGGATTGGCATGAGCGTCAGAACACAATCACGAAACATATGCGCCATTTGTTCCCTGGCATCGGAAGCTATCCTCACTCATGTCCCTACGGACCTACGGTGCGATGGCAGGCAGTGCGGGGACACATGCACAATCACCCGCTCGTGACTGTCGCGCAGCTCTAGATGCATCTCCAATCGGTGGTTCCCCCTGGGCAAAACACGGCATCTGACCGGAATGAGTCACTATGAATGGAGCTTTCATGTTTTTCGCTCTCACCCATCCTGCCGAGCACATCTTTGTGCAGCTTGAGCCCCTGCTTACCGTACACCGAAAGACACCAATCTTTTAACCACTTGGTACGTGAAATCAATGATGAGAATGTTCTAGATCGACGATAAGAAGTGAAAGACCACACCTTAATGCAATGTTTCGATGGGTCTTTGCAACTGAACCCCTACGGGCGCTCACGATTTTTTACAGCCAAGACAGCCTCAACGTCCACCGGATGCATCTTCTGTACCTGAAGGGAATGACGCTCACGCACTCCCCCTCACCCCGACCGACAAGGAAAGGGTGACTCGGACAGCGAAAAGGAAAAGTTCGAAAGGCTGAGGACTCCTTCAGAGTTACCACAGCAGCACTCCCTTCAACTGGTTATGCATCCGTCAGGTGGGGACTGCAACTAGGTCAGGACAAAAGCCAGGTTCGATTCCGAACACCTCTTTGCACGAGGGTTTCTCCCTTGGAGAAAGTTCCAGACGAACCCCTAGGCATCCTTCTTCAAATGATATTAACTCAACCTGTCTTAGGGTGACTCTCTGATCCACGGGTCAAAGATCCTATCAAAAGCGCCTTTACGCTAATAGGGCTATAAAATACCCAATGCTACTGACTGGGGAACCATAAACCAGGAATCACCACAGGTCGTGAAACAAAGACTGTCACATTGTCCTTAAAGGGTCACCACAACGGCAACCTGAAGAAAGGCTGAAAGACCGAGTCCCTCAGTGGTTCTTGAATCCTACTCGAGAAGGTCTAGTCCGATTCCGAAACAGAGACCTCGCCCTCTTCGACCCTCGAAAGGTACTGGCCAATGAGCCCATGGAATCGAGACCGGATCTTCTCAGAGTAGTCTTCATCGTCAATCTTGTACCCTGCCAGCCAAAAACTAAACAGAATATGCGCCCGATTAGGTACATCCCTGGATAATGGCATGGGTACCACACTCATATCACTCGTTTGAGTCTCAGTGCACACAAACGTCCGGCGTTTGGTGCACCTCCAAACCCAGAGAAACTTCACGATTTCCCAGGTTCCGATCAAAAGGGTCACTTGAGCTAACTGCCACAGGGTTGAACCATCGCAACCAAAACCGAAATCATCAACGTCCGCGGCTTCAGTGGAGTGCTGGTAAACCTGAACGTACCCAGGGTGGACAACCCTTCCGAAGTCCTCCCCAGAACAAACCTCCTCAGCACCAGCCCTCTGCAGCCCATACAAAAGGAACCCTAACGTCAAGCCAACAAGCACGAGGAACCTGGACCAACGCTCACAGAAGCGAAAGTATCTGATAGTTTGCAGCCTTTCACTTGGATTCGCCTCCTCAGGACTCTCTAGAGTGGTGTTCCGAAGGAGCTCTTGCCAATCAACCCAAACCCCGGTTTCTAGCCCGTCAACGACACCCTGAACGGCTTCTACGGACCAACCAGTAAGGGGAACCTGAAACGAGTCATCCCCGTAGAACACTACTAGAGCCCCATCGGTCGCGGCGTACCGCATCACAGGAATTCCTAGGTCCTCCTCGGGACTCCGCGGCGTCACTGGCAAACACTCACTCGACGGATCCACAGACTCAACCGACGGTTCTGTGGTGGAGATTCCAGACCCTTCTGAGGAAACAGCAGAACTCCCGGAAGAATCACTAGGAATCGCCAGAACCTGCCTCTCACCCGAATTGATATACGCGCAAGCAGCATCAAAAGCTACCGTCCCATCTGCAACTCGAGAGGGACCCGTATCCCTCAGCCACATAATGAGGGACAAAATCAGATTGCTTCGAAAGCAACGAGCAGCAGCTCTGAGAAATGCCCACTCTCGTACGCGGTCACCGAGTAAAGACAGCAATAGGGATCCCTGAACTGAGAACAGCCGCCATAAAAAATGGGTAACATTCGGGGGGCCCCAGTACACATAAGGAAACACCGGTCCAACAGAAGATTGAGGAAGAGAAGTGGTTATGACCGCATCTTCGTAGCCTAAAATCTCACCACGGCACACGTAATGCTCAACTGCAAGAAGCCATTGAGGGCCTTGGAAGGCAACAGCGAAAGGGCCTTCTCGCAACAAATCTGCAGCCGCACCGGCTAATGCATACCGTAGATAATTAGAGGCTTCTCTCAGCAGACGCCAACCAACCTCCCTATGTCCTAAGAACTGCAGAACCCTCACCCCAACTACCGAAAGGATCTGCGCGAGGTAATGCACCACAAGCCAAGACCCAACCAAAGGAAATTCGAAATGAGAATCGGTTGGAAAATCATCCTCGTAGCACACTTCAGGCATAGAAACCGACATGCCATGACTAGAACTAGCACCGGTAGGTTCCCTAGGACTCATCAACAGGCTATTGAACACGTCGTGACTGCTTGAACTCCCCCCAGTCTGAACGTCCTCGGCAAACGTCAAGAGCCTTGGGAACCCCTCTCCAGGACCCCTTACCCCTTGACCACTGGAACCACCAACACCAGTCAAAAACCCTTCTCCACTGCTCTGGCCTACGTCAAAAGACTGACCAGCTTCGGCTATGGTCCCTAAATCACCCCCAGCAACCGAGGACCCAACCGAACTACCAGAACAGAACGTGTCAGATTTTACCGGCTCTACCACGCTAAGCTGAGGCACCACAAGCTCTTCGGACTCTACCGCACTAAGCTGAAGCACCGCAAGCTCTTCGGACTCTACCGCACTAAGCTGAAGCACCGCAAGCTCTTCGGACTCTACCGCACTAAGCTGAGGCATCGCAAGCTCTTCGGACTCTACCGCACTAAGCTGAGGCATCGCAAGCTCTTCCGACTCTACCGCACTAAGCTGAGGCATAGCAAGCTCTTCCGAATCACCATGGCAGGGCTGCGTCATGAAGCAACGCACACTGTAACTACTCTTATCCCCAATTTGGCACACTGTATCTGACGACTCCTCAGAAGACATGCTACCCTCTGGAAGGGGTTCGAGCCGTGATGGCCTCTGCACTACCTCTTCAGCACAACCTTCAGCGCTGCCAGAACTTGAACTACCACCGACAAGAGGGTTACTTGCAGAAGCAGGCTGTGATAAGGGACTGGTTATCCAGTCGGGCAAAGGACCATAACGTTCCATCATAACCGGGGGTTCGATCACACCTCCGGCAGCTAACTGTCGCCTCAACCGAGCACGCTGGACAAACGACAGCCCGGTCTTCAACTCTTGATCCTGAAGCTTTCGTTGCGCGCTAAGCCATTCCTCTTCGGTAAACTGATCATCATCATCATCGGAGGGTTCTGGAGTTCTTTTCGTAGACCTGTAAGAAGTGGCCTCACAGACTTCTCCAGACACGTCTCCTCCTTGAGCTGTCTCATCAAGGGATTGATCCGGTGATGCACACTGCTCCCCCGGTTCTACTAACCAATCCCGAAGAACCCACCAAACCAGACCAACTGCCGCAAGGAAAACAACCCCAACGCACCAATGAAGCCAAGCTACACTAAGCTCTACTCCCCCGTTAGGTTGACCCGAAACGTTAGGCAAACTAGCTAGAAGAGCCAAGCCCGCAAGAGCTTCGGGAGTCACTTGAAAACCCAAAGCATTTCCTGAGATACGGCTCAAAATGCGTGCTGCCTTAATCGCCTCAGGAGAAGCAGGCTGTTTCCTTACATTGATGAGTTCTAAGAGATACAAGAGGCGCTGCCTGGCGAGCGGTTTTGTTCCGACGTC